AATTGTTCAACATCATAAAGTCAACAAATCCTAAATTGAGTAACTATACCAGGGGTGCCAGCAGAAGGATCACTTCCAGTTCAAGGCCAACCTGCACTACATAATGAACTCATGGCCAGCCTGAAATACATGGGAAGTCCTTGGCTAAAAAAAAAAAAAACAAACAAACAAACATGAGGCTGGGGAAATGGCTCAGTGGAATAAGTGCTTCCCTGGCAAGCGCAAGGGCCTGAGTTCAATCCCCAGTTCCGCAGGAAAAAAAAAAAAAAAAAACACTTAAAACTAAATTGAACATCTATAGCTACAAAGTTACGTGAGTAACCTAGAGAAAAAAGGTAAATAGATGTAGTCTAGAACAATAGTAGTAGGGATGGAGGAAAGAGATCTGGAAAGTATGCAGACTCTCTAGAGACTACAAATAAATGTAAGGGATGAGTGGAAAAGGATTCAAAAATATCTGCAGGATCACAGTGGATGCAGCCCACTGTGCTTGCAAATTAAAACATGTGGGAGATCTTGAATTTAATCCCCAGAGGGGGAGAAAAAAAGACAATACAAGCATGGGCTTGGGTAACTAGCCTGACGGTGACACAGCTAAATGAGAAGCACACTTTAAGGAGTTTTAGGCATACTAAATTTGAAAGGCCTGTTTTAAATCAAAGCTGGAAAAATCACAAGTAAATACACTTAAGAGTAAATATACACAGAAATTTCCTAAATCTATTGAGCTATATAAATCTGTAAGTATTTATCCATACATCTCCAGAGCTCAATGGAATGGATGGCAGTTGGGAAATGAGAAAGCCAACATCATCACTATTAATAGCCTTGAAGCACACAACCCCACCTTGTCCAACTGGTGAATTCTTGTGTATCCTTTAAAAACTAGTTCTTGTATCTTCCCTGATCACCCTAAATTAATCCCTTTCCACTTTCCATTATTTGGGAGATTTGTGTTTATATTTTTCAACTGAAGACTGTACAATTATTCAGTATACACAAAGAAACGAGGCCTCAATCCATGCACACTGGTCTTACACATTAATATAGTAACTTACAATGTGCCAGACAGAGTAAACTCATTAAATTCACAAAAACTGGTCAGGTGCAAAAATGGACAAAGACAAAATATTACTGGATAAGAATTAAGACTTCCAATTTCAGGTGGCTTCTTTAACAAATAGCACAAAGAAAACTGGCTCAGCTGGGCATGGCAGCACATGCCTGTGATTCCAGTACTCAGGATCCTGCGGCAGAATGATTGGTGCAAGTTCAAGGCTAGCCTCTCAACTACAAAGTGAATTTAGGGTCACCCTGAACTGCACAGTGAGACCCTATTTCAAAAAGACCAAAAAAAAAAAAATTTTTTTTTCACCATGCACTAAACTAAATTTGCACTAAATCAAAGATCTAAATACTAAAACAGAAATATTAAATCTGCTGGTAGATAGAATAGGTGAACTCTTAAAAGACATTGGTGTGGGCAAAGACTTTATGAATAAAACCCCAACCACACAGGAACTACCATAAAAAATAAACAACTGAGATCTCAACTTATTAAAAAGCTTTTTTTTAGGTACTGGGGATTGAACTCAGGACTTTGCACTTGCCAGGTAGATGCTTAAACCTCTGAGCTATCTCCCCAGCCCATTATTAAAAACTAGGAATGGAGGTCCCATTTGACCCAGCTATTCACCTTCTGGATATCTTCCCAGAATTAAAAACATGGTATCACAGCAACATGTGCACCCATGTTTATAGCAATAATCTACAATAGCTAAATCTTGGAAATAACTCAAATGCTCATAAACCTGGGAATAGATAATAAGGATGTAGTTTTTTTATACAATGGAATATAACTCAGCTATAAAAAAGTATACACTGGAGACTTTCACTGGTAAATGGATGCAACTAAAGACCATACTCATAAGTGAAATAAACCAGATGCACATGTGTAAACACTGTATTGTCTCCCTAGTGTGAGAAGCTAAAAAAGTAAATTAAGATCCAAAGTGTACAACAGATACTGTAAAATGTGAAGAAACTGTTCAAAAGGAAAAAGAAACTGGGACGGAGCAAAGAAGAAAAGGAAAAAGCAAAAAGAAATAAAATTTTTAAAAATGCACAGACAAAGTTAAGATAGTTATACTACTAATTTCTCTTACTTAATTGAAAAGAAAGCTAGTACACTGGCCAAGCAATGGCCGTGACTCATCCACATGGCTGACACTGACAAAGGTTCTACAATCTGAGGTACAGGATCTCAGGATAAATCCTG